GCGTCCCTGTATATATAATTTTCTACACAGCCATTCAACTTTCTAGACAGTGACTAAGGAAATAAACAGATATGTAAAGGCATACAGATAGATGTTCCTTGTAGCACCTCTTTTTTTTCTTTTTTTTAAAATAAAAGATTTATTTTAGAGAGCACACAAATGGGGAGGTGGGGCAGAGGGAGAGAATTTCAAGCACGTTCCTGCTGAGTGTGGAGCCTGAGGCTGGGCTCCATCCCAGGACCCTAAGGTCATGACCTGAGCAGAAATCAAGAGTAGGACCATCAACCAAGCCACCCAGGGGTCCCTGTAGTGCTTTTTATATTAGCAAACATTAGAAGTAAAAACTGCTGAGTAGTGTATTTTGAAATAGATTGTGAAGATGGTAGGATATTTTGCAACCATTAAAAACCATGTGGATTTAATTACAGTGACCAAAAAGCAGGTTGTAAACTGTATATAGGGTAGAGTTCATAAAACTGTAAAATTAAAAATGTAATCTACACACATAGGAAAAACTGGCCAACACTGGTTATTTCTTTATGGTGGGAACATTTCTTAACTAAAAATTTCTTTCTTAATATGTAGGTTTTTCAAATTGTATAAGTAAACATTTTTATAATCTGAAAAAAAGTTTCTTGAAGATGAACTAAGGAAACTACCTTAGGATTGGAACAAGGATGATTAATGGGGATTCTGAAGAACTCTCCTCAGCCCCTGAAATGCCTCGGCCGCTTAAGACCTGCTTTCCTCAGATGTGAAGCAGAATTTTATCTCAGTTTTTTTATTTGCCTGGTGACTGGCAATATTACTGGGTCTAAGAGAAGAGAAAATGGGAGCATGAATTAAGGAGCATAAGGGGACAGATTTTAATGAAGTTTCCCTTGTTCAGCAAACATTTAGCAAAGCCAGGATTTGAGGACACAAAGACAGGAAATAATGGAGGGAGCTCAAAAATAGACTTTAGACTGAATGCAGTGCACATACAGTGAAGGAACACAGTCATAATAGCCAACATTTATAATGTACCAAGCCCTGTGCTGGGTGTTTTGCATATATTAACTTGAGTAATACTGTGAGGTAAATACTGTTATCTGCAGAGGTGAACAGTAAGAACTCTCGAGCCAAACCGCCTGAGTGAGAATCTTGAATCCACCGCTTCCTAGCTTTTTGATCTTGGGCAAATTACTTAAACTGTGTTCAGTCTCCTTATCTGGGAAAATGTGGACAGAGCCAGACCCACACAGGATTGTTCGGAAGGTTGCAAATCATAGTAAGTGGTGTTTCTTAAATAAAAATGAATTTTGGGAAACACTCTCAATTTTGTAGCTGAGGAAACAGGTACAGAGGTGTTTGGCTGTTTGCCCCAGGCGCAGTGAGTGGAGGGGCCAGAAGTTGAACCCAGCAGTGTGAGAACCTCAGAGTTCCTATTCTTGATCCTTAGTGATGTGCCAAGTGAGGGTAGACTCAGAAGAAAGCATCTTGAGAAAGAGATTGGTGAGCTGAGTCCTGTTGGTTGCAAAATAGTTCCCCAGACCAAGGGGAGGTGCGGTATTGAAGTAGGGCTCTGCCAAGGAGAGAGTTCTGTGAGTAAATGAAGGAGGCATGAAATAGAATGGCAGACATGGGGCAGGCTGAGTTTAGGTATTACTGGAACCTCAAATGGGAGCTGGATAATGATGGGAAGTGAGGCTGGAGAGGGGCAAGCGCCAGGTGTGTAGGAATTTGCATGTTGTACTAATATACCCATCTGATCTTCTGGATGGTGAGGATATAGGTAGGGTAAGCCTGGAGGCAGAGAGAGCAGTTAGCAAGCTCTTGCAAAAATCTTAAGAGATTTGGATCCAGACCCTTAAGTAAGGCTGTTAGCAGGAAGATTGGAAAAGACCTGGGACAGATTTGAGAAATATTACAGAAAGTAAAATTGACAAAATTGGGGATTTGATTTGGGAAGTCAGTGGTTTTACTAGTAGAGAATACAGTAAAAAGACTTTTTTTTTTTTTTTTTTTAAGATTGTATTCATTTGAGGGAGAGAGGACAAGCAGGGAGAGGGGCAGAGGGAAAGAGAGAAGCAGTCTCCTCACTGAGTAGGGAGTCCACTCTGGGGCTCCATCCCAGGACCCTGGGATCATGACCTGAGCTGAAGGCAGACACTTAACCCACAGAACCACCCAGGTACCCCAAGACTTTTTTTTTTTTTTAATGGAAATGCACTGAGTATGTGGAAATTATAGCAGGCAGTTGGAAATTTGGTGAATCTGAAGGCAGGTTGAAAAGCTCAGAACTGAAGATAAAGATTTGGAAGTTAAATCATGCTTTTAGTACAATTAGCCCCAACCACATCTTTGTATTTCTTCACTTTTTCAACACATTGGGTCCGTTATGTGCCAGTCAGTAGGGTGCCCACAGTAGTGGCCTGGGAGGCCCTTCTCTGATAGCATGCTCGATGAGGTGACTTGTTCACACCAAGGTCCTCAAGGCGATGTGGAGAACATACTAGCAACATTTGTTGACCCTTTCAGACTTGATTTACTAACACAGCTGGGCTGATAGTTGTTTTTTGGGGAGTGAAGGAGAGTGGTTTATAGTTACCTTTTACAGAAGCTTACATGGAGGGCAGACATTGTATGCTTTGATGATTCTAGGGTCTCAGTGCATTTGGCTCTTTTTTAGAATTAAGGGTTTGAAATAAGTGGGCGGGGTGACCCTAATCTCTTAAGAAGCTTTAGGAATTTCAACTCACTTGATGAGGTTTTTTTCCCCCCTTATAAAGTCATTTAAAATAATTATATTCCATTAACATTTGATTTTTTTTTTTTAAGATTTTATTTATTTAACAAAGAGATCACAAGTAGTCAGAGAGACAGGCAGACAGAGAGAGGGGGAAGCAGGCTCACTACTGAGCAGAGAGCCTGATGTGGGGCTCCATCCCAGGACTCTGAGATCATGACCTGAGCCGAAGGCAGTGGCTTAACCCACTGAGCCACCCAGGTGCCCCTAACATTTGATGTTCTTAACAAAAATGTTACCTACGAAGTATTAGGGGGCAAGACTTTTAAAATCTAGCCCTCTTGTCGTTTTATGTGTATCTTTTCTCTTCTCCCAATACATACTAACTTCTTAGGCCGCCTTTAGAGCATCTCAGGAGCCTGAGTGTTTTTGTGTTGAGAGGAGAGGGGAAACCGTCTTTTTTTTTCACTTTGGTCAGAGTGGAGAAGTCTGATACGTTGGCTGGGTGTTGTCAACGACAGACGTGTCCTCGGACACTTGCTACAGTGCTAACCCAAAGAAGCTGTATTCAGTAGTGAAAGCATTGATAAAAGGGTTGGATATTCAGAAGTTTTGAATGTGTGCGGCATCAAGTGTGATGCAACGGGGGACCTGCTGTAAAAGGAAAAAAATTGAAATGAAAAAAAGCCCCTCAGGGAACCAAGAATGGAAAGGGCTGCTTGCTGCCACAGTGAACTCCCTCTCTCTGAGATGCAAAGAAGGGGGCTCAAGGATGCTGTTGGAAGCACCCAGCTCTGGGTGAGCAGTCCTTAATGGGTCCGGGTTCTTTTGGTGCTTTTGAACTACTCGTTCCTGGACCATTTTGGCACGCGCTGCTCTCAGTTTTCTGAACTGGAGTTGTTTCTGTCAAATCAAGATTACATGATCCCATTTCATAATAAAATAAAGTTTTCTAATTGGATTGTAAACTCCTCAAAGACAGGGATAAAATAAAGTCTTCCGAGGACCAACAGGGTCAAGTTTTTTGCCAGGACTCATTCTTGATTGATGAATCCATATTGAGCTTTCAGTTTCCATGTGTTTTTATTCAGAGATAATGGTTTCCAGTTACATTCCTTTACGAAACAAAAGACAAAATATTCTAGATGTGTCTTTTTTATTTAGGAAGCATGAAATATTTTCTTGAAATATTTCATTCTTCTTTGAAAATTTCCATTGGTATAAATTCGAAGGAACAACATAGTTCCAATTCTTAAGCATCAGCTGAAAAAGGCCAGTCCCATTGTTGGGAGTTCTGTGTAGGAAAGCAATCATCTAAAATGTAAAGTAAACCAGGGAACTATTGAAGGGTTTTATTACCGTTTTGTCTTTTTTTTTTTTTTTAAATGAGGCATTATGGGTCTTTATACCCTCTTCACAATGAATTGCCTTATTTCATAAACATATATTTTTGAAGGCTTCAAAGATGACCAGCTTTAAAAGAGTGAGATTAATTTTGTCTATACATGTGCTGAAAATCAGTTTCTGGCTTAGACTTCAGATTTCGAATCTATGTACGTGTAACAAGTGATGGGAGTATCACAGATGGTGCCCCCTAACTGAAATTCTGACCGCCATTGGGTACGAATTTGGTTTCTCAAGTACAGAGGTAGAGGACGGTAGTCAAAATATCAACAAAGTTTTTTTCTCAGAAACATTCGAAATTAGATCTGTTTGGCAGTGACAAAATATCATTTGTGCTAATGGCAGGAATTAAAATTTTGACCTCTTAAATTATCAATCCATTTTCTCCAGAATCAGGACCATTGTGTACCCTCCTAAGTTTGAGCCTTGGTCAGTCTTTGTTACTGTGGAAATTGTGTGTGGAGTAGTTGCATGTATGGTTGTTTGTGAGGGTTTAGAAATTGAGGTTTGAAAAATTAAGATTTCCCATGAAGAGGCAAATCTTCTAAACATCTATAAGATCTGGTTTTCAGATCTGTGTAGAATGCCCTCCCTATTTTAAGAAAACACTTGTTTTCTTAGAGGTGATTATTTACATTATAAAATATTTTCAGTACTTAAAAACCATCCTTTCCTGTGCTAAATTTATCTACATATAGTCTTAACGATTAAACTTCTAGATAAAATTCAACACTTACATGGGTTGCACCTGTACTCTGCTTTGGTGGTTATTAGCTGGAATCACTAAGTCAGTTCTTAATCTAGTTTGTATCTTGTGGATCTGACAATAGTATTTTAAAAATAAACCTTTATAAAATATTTGTTTCAGAGCCCAGTGATGTGACTCTAAAAATTTACCGAGCGGAATCATATGCTGGTCTCCAAGAGTTTAAAGCCGCCATAGAAGATTTAAATGCAGTCCTCTTTCAACTGCCAAATTGGCCTGAGGTAAAGTTACTGTTTTACATTTACATATTTAAAGATTTCACCTGTAGGGAACATGAATTCAGTTATGGTTATAAGTTTAAACAAAATAGATTTGTTGGCTCTTTAAATAAAACATATAGCGTTCTAGAAATCTAGGGTTAGTATTTTGAGCAGATGGCTATAAAGCAATTTTTTAAACCCTAAGAAACCTTCATTTTCTAACTAAAGAACAACCTGAACTTAAGGCACTGAGAAAAAAAAAGTAATAAGAGACATGAGTGTGCAAAATTTCCTCAAATAGATATAACTGGTCCTGCTGGATCCAAACTGAAAATTGGTGGAGGAGGTGTACTGATGCGAAGAGAAGAGACTGGAAAATGGAGGCATCATCATGGGGACCAGATGAGGAGTGATTTAATACAGTAAATGGGGACAACAGAGGTTGCCTTGCCCATACAATTTTAAAAAAGACTTGAGGCAAATATATGTAATCAGTTTACTAATTTTTTATCCAATTGCCAAAGCAAATCAGTTCATGTCCCGTATATGTTCTTCAAGCTAGAAGTTACTATTTTATATGACTTTTCCCCCATTTGAAACCATGCCTTTTGGACAATATATTAAGGATGCTCTAAAAAATTATAAATTAATATGAAAAACAATACTAAATCCCATGCTGGCTTGACTGGTTAGTATAAGGCAAACGTAATGATGGAAAATGATCTGTATGGACACCTTTAAAACTATTAAAAAAGACGGAATCCTCTGCATTTATTACTGATGTGATATAATTAGAAATACAGTTTTGAAGTCATTTTTCCGTTAAGTGCTTCTCCAGGGAAGCGTGTAAACATACCTTGAAATGCTATGGGCTCCTCAGAGTTATTCAGAATTTCAAAATGCACATTTCCAAGCAAACCATTTTTTTTTTTTTCTAGATACTGATTTTTCAAAAATAATTGTGTCAGTCAAAGTTGTGTATTTGTGCTTTCATTGAAGGTCTACTTCAGGAAAGGAAAAGTACTCCAGGATGCTGGTTTTTTAGGTGATGCCTTACAGCTCTTTCTTCAGTGCTTAGCTCTGGATGAGGATTTTGCACCTGCAAAGCTAGAAGTGGAAAAGGTAATCGGTTTTACCAATTATAGTCGGAGGCAGGTCTGAGACACGGGTCTTTTTAAAAATGCTAATTACAATAAGAAACTTGGGGTAAGAACATAAGGAGTCCAGTAAGTCAAATTTAGCAGCAGTTTGACAAGTGGGCTTTCAGGGTCATACACTTAGCATATCGAGTTTTTACTGAAATCAAAACATTTCATTTGCAGATACTTAAATGTGTTATTTTTGCTTAAATTTAGGTGCTTTCTACTGGTTTGTTTGATTGGAGCCAAACTAATCATCCTTAATTGTTGTCATGATATTCCTGCTCAGAAATTTTTTTTTCTAGTTAAAGCAAAACTGGTCTATAACATTACATGTTTCCATATACATTATAAGAGATACCACTAAAAGGCTATTTACAATCCATCATAATACAGGGGCTCCCTTCCCCCATTTCACCTAACCCCCTTACTCTCTGATAACCACCAATCTGTTTTCCATATCTGGGAGTTTTTGTTTTGTTCATTTCTTTTTTGTTTCTGTATTAGATCCCACATATGAGTGAAGTCCTACCATGTTTATCTTTCTCTTTTGGACTTATTTCACTTGCCATAATACCTTTAGGGTCCATTCGTGTTGTCACAAGTTTTTTTCTGGGCTAAGTGGTAGTCCATTGTATATGTATAACTTATCTTTATTCCATCAGCCACTGATAGACATTTAGGTTTTTTCCACTTCTCAGCTATTGTAAACAATGCTGCACTGAACATAGGAATGCACACGTCTTTCCAAATCACTGTTTTTGCATGCTGAAGATAAGTACACAGAAGTGGAAGTTCTTTGTTGAGGAATCTCCATACTGTTTTCCACAGTGGCTTTACCAAGAATGGTTTACAGGGTCCACTTTTTACTGTATCCTCTCCAAGCCTTGTTATCTTTTGTCTTTTTGGTAATAGCCATTCTAACCATTGTGAGATGATACTTTATTGTGGTTTAGGTCGGTATTTCCCTGATTAATGATGTTAAGCATCCTTTATGGTCCTGTTGGCCATCGGTATGTTTTCTTTGGAAAAAAGTGTCTATTCAGATCCTCTACCCATTTTTTAATTAGGTTGTCTTTTTGTTGTTGAATTGTAGGCGTTCTTTATATATCTTGGATATTAATCCCTTATCAGATATACAATTTGCAAAAATCTCCCATTCAGTAGGTTGCCTTTTTGTTTTGATGATTTCTTTTGCTGTGCCAAAGCTTTTTAGTTTGATGCAATCCCATTTGTTTATTATTGCTCTTTTCCTTGGTGTTGGAGTCACAAAAATACTGCTAAATCCCATATTGAGGAGCTTACCACCTATGTTCTTCTAGGAATTTTATGGTGTCAGGTCTTATATTCAAGTCTTTAATCCATTTGAGTTAATTTCTATCTCTGGTGCAAGACACTGGTCTAGTTTCATTCCTTTGCATGTGGCTGTCCAGCTTTCCCCAGCACCATTTATTGTAGAGACTCATTTCTCCATTGTAAATTAATTGTGTAAATTAATTGTCTGTATATGTGTGCCTTTAATTCTGGGTTCGTAATTCTGGTTCACTGATGGCATGTGTGCATTTTTATGCCATTATTATATTGTTTCAATTACTATAGATTTGTTCTGTAGTTTGAAATCAGCATTGTTCTCCTTTCTCAAGATTGCTTTGGCTATTTGGGATCTTTTGTGATTTTCGACAATTTTAGAATTATTTGGTCTAGTTCTGTGGAAAAATACCATTGGGATTTTGATAAGAATTACATTGAATCTGTAGATTGCTTTGGGGAGTATGGATATTTTAACAATAGTAATTCCTCCAGTCTATGAGCATCCCTGGAATAAATCCCATTTGATCATCGTGTATGAACTTTTGCTGTATTTTTAAATTCAGTTTGCTAATATTTTGTTGAGGATTTTTGCATTAATGTTAGTCACTGCTAATGGCCTGTAATTTTCTTTTTCTGTGGTTTCTTGTCAGCTTGCTGGCCTCAAAAAGATTTGGGGAGCGTTCCTTTCAATTTTTTGAAAGAGTTGAGAAGGATAGGTATTAAATCTTCGAATGTTTGGTAGAATTCACTAGTAAGCCATCTGGTCCTGAACTTTTGTTCGTTGGGAGGTTTTTGATTACTGATTCAATCTTACTAGTAATTGATCTATTCAAATTTTCGGTTTCTTCATGATTCAGTCTTGGAGGATTGTGTATTTCTATGAATCTATTCATTTCTTCTAGGTTGTCTAATTTGTTGGCATGTAATTGTAGTAGTGTCTTATAATCCTTTATATTTTGGTGGTGTCAGTCATCACGTTTCATTTCTGATTTTATCAGAGTGCTCTTTTTATTTGGCAGGGTTTTTTTTTTTTTAACTTTTTAAAATTCTAGTATAACTGACATACAGTGTTATATTACTTTCACATGTATACTATAGTAGTGATACAGTAGTTCTATACATTACTCAGTGTTTATCATTTTAAGTATATTCTTAATCCCTTCATCTATTTCACCTGTCCTCCCCTTCCCCTCTGGCAGTCACCCATTCTTTAAGAGTCTGTTTTTCTTTCTTTGTCCTTTTGTTTTGTTCTTTGAATTCCATACGGGAGTGAAATCATATGGTATTTATCTTTCTGTGACTGACTTAAATTTCATTTAGCATTATATATTCTAGATCCATCCATGTTGCAAATGGCAAGATTTCATACCTTTTTATGGCCAAGTAAAATTCCATTGTGTGTATGTACCTCTTCTTTTATCCATTCAGCTGTTGCTCCCATAGTTTAGCTATTGTGGATAATGCTGCAATAAACACAGTGTGCATTATAACTTTTCGAATTAGTGTTGTTTTCTCTGGGCAAATATCTAGTAGTAGAATTACTGAATCATATAGTATTTTATTTTTAGTTTTTTGAGGGAACTCCACAAAGTTTTTCATAGTGGCTGCACCAGCTTGCATTCCTACCCCAGCGCATAAATGTTTCTTTTTTTCCACATCCTGGCCAACACCTTTTATTTCTTGTGTTTTTGATTTTAGCCATTTGACAGGCGAGAAGATATCTCATTGTGGTTTTATTTGCATTTCCCTGATGATTAGAGATGTTGAGCATCTTTTCATGAATCTGTTGGCCATTTGTATGTCTTCTTTGGGAAAATGTCTTTTATATGTCCTGTGCCCATTTTAATTGGGTTATTTTGGGGGGGGTGAGTTGTGTAAGTTCTTTATATATTTTGGATATTAACCTCTTGTTGGTATATTATTTGCAAGCATCTTCTCCCATTCAGCAGGATGTCTTCTGTTTTGTTGATGGTTTTTTTTTTTTTTTAAGATTTTATTTATTTATTTGGCAGAGAGAGAGCACAGGTAGGCAGAGAGTCAGGCAGAAAGAGAAGGAAGCAGGCTCCCTGCTGAGTGGAAAACTCCATGTGGGGCTCGATCCCAGGACCCTGAGATCATGACCTGAGCCAAAGGCAGAGGCTTTAACCCACTGAGCCACCCAGGTGCCCTTGTTGATGGTTTCTTTCACTGTGCAGAGGCTTCTTGTTTTGATGTAGTCCTGATAGTTTCTTTTTGCTTTTGTTTCCCTTGCCTCAGGAGACCTACCTAGAAAAATGTTGCTACGACCACTGTCAAAGACATCATTGCCAATGCTGTCTTCTAGGATTTTTACAGTTTTAGCTCTTACATTGAGGTTTTTAATCCATTTTGGGATTTAATTTTGTGTATGGTATAAGAAAGTGGTAGGGAAAAGGTGGTCCAGTTTCATTCTTTTGCATGTAGCTGACCAGTTTTCCCAGTACAATTTGTTGAAGAGACTTTTTCCCATTGGATATTCTTTCCTACTTTGTTGAAGATTGATTGACCATATAATTGTGAGTTTATTTCTGGGTTTTCTATTACATTCCATTAATCTGTGTGTCTGGTTTTGTACTAGTACCATACCGTTTTGATTACAACAACTTTGTAATATACAATTGTGGAATTGTGATGCCTCTAGCCTTGCTTTTCTTTTTCAAAATTGCTTTGGCTATTTGGGGGTCTTTTGTGGTTCCATACAGATTTTAGGATTGTTTCCAGTTCTGTGAAAAATGTTGTTAGTATTTTGATAGGGATTGTACTATCCAAAGATTGCTTTGGATAGTACATTTTAACATTTGTTCTCCCAATCAGTGAGCATGGAATGTCTTTCCATTTGTTTATGTCATCTTCAGTTTCTTTCATCTATGTTTTATAGTTTTCACAATACAGGTCTTTCACTTCTTCGGTTAGGTTTTTCCCTGGTATCCTACTGTTTTCGGTGCAATTGTAAATGGATTGTTTTCCTAATTTCCTTCTGCTGCTTCATTATTAGTGTATAGAAGTGCAGTGGATTGCTACACATTCATTTTGTATCTTGCAACTTTACTGAATTCATTTATCAGTTCTAGTAGTTTTTTGGTGGAGTCTTTAGGGTTTTCTATATAGAGTATTATGTCCTGCAAATAGTGAACTTTAATTCCTCCTCACCAATTTGGATGCCTTTATACCTTTTTCTTATCTGATTGTTGTGGCCAGGACTTCCAGTACTGTGTTACGGAAAAGTGGTGAGAGTGGACGTCTTTGTTTCGTTCCTGACCTTAGGGGCAAATCTCTGTTTTTCCCCTCTGAGGGTGATATCAGCTGTGAGTTTTTCATATAAGGCCTTAATTATGTTGAAGTATGTTCCCTCGAAACATACTTTAAGAGGTTTATTCATGAATGGATGTTCTACCTTGTCAGATGCTTTTTCTGTCTCTACTGAAATGATCATATAGTTTTTTATCCTTTCTCTTATTGATGTGATATATCACATTGACTGATTTGTAAGTATTAAACCACCCTTGGATTCCTTGGATTTATCCAAGGAATAAATCCCATGTGGTCATGCTGAATGATTTTGTTTAACGTGCTGTTGGATCCTATTTGCTAGTATTTTGTTGAGGATTTTTTCATCTGTGTTCATCAGAGATACTGGCCTGTAGTTTTCTTTTT